ACTATTTAGTTGCCCAATAAGAAGGACCCATGCTAGTTGCCAGCAAACAAAGCAAAATTCATAGACTGCTACTAACTCATTACATCCTTTTTACCATAATTATGCAAATACAGTGGAAATACAGTTTTTAAAAAAAACTGTGTAAAATTTAAAGAGCCATAGACGCATAAAATGTCTACCATATACTCTGACATCGACAATACTCTCTAGCAGAGAGAGTGTAGACATTGAAGAATGCAGCAAGGGAGAGTGAATAGAAGATTCAGAGAAGAGAAAAAAAAAAACGAACAATGTGTTCTCATAGAAGCTACACAAAGTGTTTGTAAAAGAGGTGTCCAATGAGGCAGACAGTACCTCTGTTGTTTTATCTTCCTGGAATTTCCATTTTTTCTTCCCCGTAGACTTAACTTTTAAATTTACCATAACCTCAAATATATTATATATATTTCTTTCCCTTGGCCTTTGAATGTTAATTTGAAAACTACATGCATATCTAACTTTGCTTTAGTAGTCTGATTATTAAGACCTAAAGACACTAGCAAAAAAAAAAGGCCATTAAAATATAAAATAATATAATGAAGAAAAATAGTCTTTCACTTTTCAAGTTTTGAAATTTATGTCTGGTTCCTTCCCCACAGCACAGAGTGACAGAATTCTGTAAGAGGTTCACTTCACTCCTATTTTAACCTATGGATAAAAGAATAGAGAAAGGGTTATCCCAGGCATTGAGGATGATGCTCTGAGATACTCCACTGATGTTATTTTCTACAAACATTTTAGATCCTTTAAATTGTCCAGAAGATATTTGTTCTCTTAAATAGCACATCATTTGAACATTTCATGAGTGAACTAGTCATAGCACATTTCTTTCTTGTTTTTTTTTTTTTTTTAAATATATTACTTCTGCAGAAGTCTAATTCTAAACTTAGAACTATGCTCCCAAGATTATACCAAACTGGTCTCAGTGGTTACATGGGCCCATGCTCATTTTTATTCACCCAACATTTTGTCTGTATTATTAGCTGAAACAAGTTTTACAAGGGGTTTACTTGTTTGTTGGTTTGTTTAGAAGTCTGAATGATGAGTTCAAAGTGGTTAAAATCACTTACATAATACTTGCAAGACCTAAATGAGTATTGTCATCCAGAGATTTTCTGTCTCTAGGCTTTGCAGCACAAAGATTTAAACTAAGATCAAGAAAGACAAGCCAATATTTAGAATGTTCTAGATTTTAGTCATTTCTGAGACTGGAAAGCTTTGAATGAGTGGAAGCAGTTTTAAGATCTGGGTGTATACTATGACTATCCAGTCTCTAAGCAGAGAGCTTCGTGGCTCACTGGCTCGATCAAAATTTCTAGTACTTTCAAATTCTTGATTTCTCTTTTCTGATGAAATTAAATTCTACACAGATTACCTGTCTTGTTTACATAACAGAGAGTAAAATTATGAAATGATCTTTGAGGGGGATTCCAGGTAATTACTCCTTGATGTGCATCTTCATGTCTACAAACAACATTCTGAGGCTGTCCTGGAACTGTTAAAAGAATAAGAATGTTAAGTAATATGAAAAATAAGACATGGATAAAGCATTCTTCATATTATAAGCATGCATTATTGATAACCATGTTTTGACAAATGATGAATTAAAAATAAAATTTAAAGAAATGCATCTGGGCTTATTTAATTTGTTTTAGAGTAAATTCCTTCAACAAAGTAAATGTCACACCAGATTGGCATTGTGAAACCTAAGCATTCCACTGACTTGAAGATATCTGAGAACCCCCTCTTCCTTTCATACACATTATTCATATATATTATTACCCAGATACTACCTACAAATCCTGAGATTTGTAGGTTTTGCTGTGCTGAAAACCTAGCATTCACAGCACTAATAAATGTAGCAATCATTGAGTAGCACTTGTCATTGCTTTCAGTAACTAGTCATTTGAAACTGAGAAAAACTGATAAATGTCTAAATAAAGTGTATGAAGTAAAATTGACATTAAAATGTACCCATTTGAGGTATAGTTTAATGAGTTTTAACAAATGTATACATCCACATAACCAACACCACAATCAGGATGAAGAAAATTTCTGTGATCCCAAAATGTCCTTCTGTGACACTTCCCAGTCAACTCAATTCCTTTGACCAGACTCACATAGTGTCTGATCAAATTTCTGTTACTACAGATTAAATTTGTCTTTTTACCCATTGCATGTAAATAAAATTAAACAGTAAGTACTTTTTCACACCTAACATATTGCACTCAATGTAATGTTCTGAAGATTCATCCATTTAGTTGCATGTGTCATAGTTACCTTGTAAAAATCTATCAGTAGTTATTGTAAAGATATACCATGTTTTACCTATGATTCAGCAGTTAATACACATTTGGGCTGTTTCCAGGTTTTGGCTACTATGAATGAATCTGCTTTGTCATGTTTCCTCTTTGGTAAATACCTGTAGTGAAATTCCTGGGTCATGGCTGCACATCCTAACCAATAGTAGTGTCTGTCTTTTTAAGTTTAGTCATTTGAATGGATGTATAGTATTATCATCTCGGTATTGTTTTAATTTGCATTTCTCAGATAACTAATGATGTTGAGCATCATTTAATGTGTTTATTAACCGCTTATATATCCTCTTTTGTGAAGTATATATTAAAAATGTTTGTCCATTTTCAATTGAGCTATTTTATTCCTTATTTTGCAGCTGAAAGAGCTCTCTATATGTTCTGAAAAAACTTCTGTTGTTGAAAAATTTAATTTTGATTTTTACAAATGATTTATTACTTTTTTATTTCCTTAATGGCTTCATCCAAACATCAGGAATGTTAAATTTTGATGAACTCCAATTCATCAAAAAATTTTTGTTTCTTGCTTTTGTGTCCTAAGAAATCTTTGCTGAAGGCACACATTTTCTCCTATGTCTTTTGATTAGAATTTTTATAATTATAGCTTTAGTATTTAGGTCTGGAATTCATTTTGAATTAATTTTTATGTTTGTTGAGAGGTGAGAGCTGATGTTCATTTTCTTTCTACAGAGATACCAGTATCATTAGTTGAAAAGACTATTTTTCTCCCACTGAAAACATTTTGTGCTTTTTTCAAATATAAAACATAGTTTTCTGGGATTTCTATTTTGTTTCACTGATTCATAAAGAATGTAATAATTGTGGTACTTATAAAAATATATTAAAATTTTCTAGTTATGCTGAGGATATAGTTTTTACATAGTTTTATTTGCTCTTCTTGTAGCTATATATTATTTTGGAGGATTATAAGGAGACATGGATTTAGGCAGCCTCTTTAGCCTTCAACTATCCTTTTTATATAAAACTTAGAATCACGGGCCAGGCATGGTGGCTCATGCCTGTAATTCCAGCACTTTGGGAGGCCGAGGTGGGCAGATCACGAGGTCAGGAGATCAAGACCATCTTTGCTAACACGGTGAAACCTCGTCTCTACTAAAAGTACAGAAAATTAGCCGGGTGTGGTGGCGGGCACCTGTAGTCCCAGCTACTTGGGAGGCCGAGGCAGAGAGTTGCTTGAACCCAGGAGTCGAAGGTTGCAGTGAGCTGAGATCGCCCACTGCACTCCAGTCAGGGTGACAGAGCGAGACTCCGTCTCAAAATCAAATCAAAACAAAACAAAACAAAACTTAGAATCACATTAGTAAGCTGTGTCAAAAATTTCTCAATATTATCGTTAATAAACAAGTTCAGTAATGTGACAGATTGCAAGATCAATACAGAAAAAGCAATTGTATTTTTGTACATTAGTAACAAATCTGAAAATGTGATTAAGAAAACAACAGCATTATAACCAGGTATAAACTTAAACTAGAAATAAATTTAACAAAAGAATTATAAGACTAATGCACTGAAAACTACAAAACATTTTGAAAATAAATTAAAGAAGAAGACACCTTGTGTTCATGAACTGGAAGACTAACATGGTTAAGATGGCAATATTTCCCAAATTGATCTACAGATTCAGTGCAACCCCTGAAAGAATCCCAGATGACTTCTTCATAAAAATTGAAAAGTTGATCCTAAAGTTCATACAGAATTCCAAGTTCCCTTAGATATTCTAAACAATCTTGAGAAAAAGTAACAATTTGGGGGAACTTACAGTTTCCAATTTCAAAGTTTACTACAAAGCAGCAGTAATTGACAGTGTAAGCATGACATATAAATCTATGAAATAAATCTGAAAGTTCAGAAATAAACCCATCATTATGGTCAACTAATTTTTGATATGAATGGCAAGACTATTCAATGGGAGAATAAATAGTGTTTTCAGCAAATGGCACTAAAAAATTAGATGGCCATAAGCAACAAAATGAAATTAGACTCTTACCTCACACCGTATACAAATATTAACTCAAAGTAGGTAACAGAGCTAAATTTAAGAGCTAATGCTATAAAATTTTTAGAAGAAAACATATGGATAAATCTGCATGACTTGGCAATGGACTTTTACATATGACACCAAAAGCATAAGCAAAAGAAGTAAAAATAGATAAATTGAGCTTCGTTGAAATAAAAAGCATATGCTTAAAAAGTATCAAAAACAGTAAAAAGACAACTCATTTCCTATGATTCTCAAGGAATTATAAGAACATGAAAAGGAAAGCAATTTTATATATAAATGTAAGTAACATACTCACTCCCAAAATCTGTTTTTATAAGTTTGGTTATGTTAATATACTTGTGGTCATTATAGAGTATTTCTGAGTCACACTTATACTCATATTCAGGTTCAAGGTTTTTTAAATAAATGCCTTCCTTATTATATGTTTCATTACCTGAAATAAAGAAATATTTCAAATGAGTATATCTATGCAATATTTCACACACACATTTATTTTCTAATTTCACATTTATAATTCTCTATTTAATATTTATCAGATTGAAACATCCATGGAGATTGTCAAAATAATAAAAGTAAAAGATCCTGAAAATAATTTTGCTACATTCCACTTTTAAGAAAATACAGGCTGAGTTTCCCTTATTCAAAATTCCTGGCACCAGAAGTGTTTTGGATTTATTTATTTATTTTTTTTTCAGATTTTGGAATATTTGCATATAAATGATAAGATATCTTGGGGATAGGACACAAGTTCAAATTCAAAATTCATTTATGTTTCATATATACCTCATATATGAATAGCTTGAGGTCATTTATTTTTCTCTGGGGATGCTGACTAAATTCTGTGTTGTGTTTCTGCATTTTGACTATGACCAGTCACTTTAGGTCACATGTAAAATTTTTCACTTGTTTGAGCCACATCATGTTGGCACTCAAAAAGTACTGGATTCTGAGAACATTTTGGATTCTGGGTTTTCAGATTAGGGATGCTCAATCTGTATATAGCAAATATAACTTAAAGTTGAGATTGCACCTCAGCTAGTCTTTGTCTAACACATTGTCTAGAGAAAACATTTTATTATCATTGGTCTGTCTTATGTTTGCTGTTCCTTTCCTCATCCGCTTGCCTCATGGCCATGAATCTATACTATGATGATTATGTAATGATTACACCCAGTGCAATGCTCCATCCTCTATGTGTGTATCTGTGGATGTACGTGCATGCATATGCACACCTGCGCACATCTATCTGTCATGCCAGCTATGGCCTGGCAGATGGCTTTATGTCAAAGGGTGGGAGAGTTCATCGCATTAAATTCAAATACACTTTAAAAATACTATCTCAATTATTAGTTGTCTCAATTCAAACCCAAACATATCCCTAGATGCACTTGCTCTTCTTTTTCTGCTTTCCTGTTATTTAAGTGTTCTTGAACTTGTGTATCAATTTTGTTGATGCAGAATGGAAAAAGTAAACTCTTGAACCATACAATCTTGTATTTGTTTTCCTTCATAACAGAGTTCGTGCATTATTATTTTCTTATAACACCCTTATCTCATGATCTCTTCAACAATGCCTGTGTATAATAATTGCCAAGAAAATTATTGTAAATTAATTGACTTTTAATTTTTAGATATTTATTTTTCATGAGAAATATTCATTTTGTGAATTTGTTTGAATGGTATAAATAATTTAATTATTTGACTCTAAATATACCAGAGACCAAGAAAAAGACAAGAAAGAAAAAAGACAAACAGAGGGAGAAAAGAGAGGCAGAGAGGAAGAGAGAAAGGACAGAGAGTAAAATTAAATAATATCTAGAGCAACATTATACTACAAAAAAAAAAAATCTCTGGTCAATGTTATATTCTTACCACATTGAAATCTGTAGGCAATTTTACTTTTATCACAAGCAAAGGTTTCAGTAATTTTCCATTTTAAACAAATAGTGGTATTTGCTTCTACAATGGGTGTACAATCATCTAACCGAAACTTTTCAACCTCTGTCAAGAAGATACAGAAATAAATTTGATTAGTATTTCATAATGTGTGCCCCAAGCCCTCACTAATTCCTAACTTCTCAGTTAAAGCCACTGAAATTATGCTAATAACATAGAATTTGGTAAGTATTGAGATTGCTATGGGAAAAGTCTAATAACTCTAGGGATTTGGTGTTTTTTAAATTATTTACTTTATTATTTTTAGCACCATATATTTTGGTAGTGTTTCATTTATAAGTTATACTATGTTAAAAAATGAAATGCAAGCAAACATTGATAAAATTGTAGCTTTTGCACATTTTAAAACAAACACTCATTCCGTTTTGTATTTTTGTTTATATCTTCAATTTTTGTTTACTCGTTACTTACTTTGAATTGAATGATTATTATAAAGAGTATTGGGGGTTTCCTTCTTGGGAAATGCATTTTTAAGTATTGTTACCTTCTGCGTTTAATTAGTAATTTATCTCAGTAATATTTTGGGAAAATGAATAAATTAAATGGATTTTAACATATTTAAATGTTAATAAATATATTAATAGTCTCGAATTATTAAATGATATGACTTTTTTTTTTAAATTACACAGCTTTGGAATCCCTTTTCCAGAATGCTTTTGGCTAAGAGATGCTTCCCTGGAGTCTGCCCGACGCCTGTCACCCCCTCCTCTTTCCCAGCAGTAGCTTAGCTGACAAAACCAGCTTGATCTCCCTAACATGACCATAACCTTCCTCTTTTGAATGTATTTTGTTCTTCCCGTACACATCAAATCCTTTATGTTTCTCCCTAATATAATTAAGATAAATGTGTACTTAAAGCAGAATAAATATATGTACATATGTAATTAATGACTTCAGTTAAGTAGAAGAGAATAAAGAAAGCTTGTAGACAATCACTTAGCAGGATAAATTATATTTAGTATATATGAACATCTCCCTGTTAAAGAAGTAGAAGTGGTAATTTATTATTATAAACAGAAGACTTGTATGACTCTATCATTTTTACTTGGTTAAGAAAGCAGAAAGTTCACCCACTCTTTTCCAAGGGACTTCCTTTTCCTCAGTCCTGTTCTCTCACCAGACCAGTTCCTGTGACCAGTGGAGAACACCACACGCGAAAGTGTACTGATTTTATAAATTTATGAAAAGAAATAAATTGATATTTACCTGGTGGCACATCTAATTTTAATTCTTTATGATGATCTGTACATGAATTATGAGATACGAAAACGTTCATTTCTTTACATTCTGGAAGATTAAGCACCTCATTGTTTGTGCAAATATTGTGTGTGTGATTATTGTTTGTACATTCCACATTCTCATTAACATTTAGCTTTGCTGTAAATAATTTAGTTTTGTTGTTATATAAGTAATCCACAGAGATGTTTGCATATTTTTCAGCTAAAAGAAAATAGAACATTGAGTGTTATCTTATTTTTCCAGAATAAACAAAACCACATTCATGCAAATGCCAAAATATCAAATCAACTAACGAAATATCCCCAAAAACATGAAAAGGAAGAAACATATCAGATGCCTCTATATCATTTTTCTCGTAATTCTCTGTGCTTTACTGCCCTATCAACAACCCCAGCTTGTAAATTTATATTTGAATGATTACCAGATGAGTGTCTGTCTTCCTAGCTGGACTTGGAATTTCCATGAAAGCAAAGTCTGGTCTATTTTTATTATCACTGTAAATCCAGGAATATGCATAATATTTATCATTAATGGGAACTCACTAGTTACTTGTTGACTTGATGCACAAATAAATGATGCATCTGATACATTTATTCTTGCTTTATAATTTTCTTGTTTTCTAAAATGTAGTTATTAACTATCTGTCTCTTCATATATGTGGAGCATTAATTACTCAGAGACCAGAAGCCCTCATTCATTCCTTAACTTGGATAAAATTATGATTGATAATATACCTCCAAAGCACCTTTTTTTTTAGTGTCAACAATTTCTGCTGAGTGATAAAAATATCTTTATAACAAATATAAATTTATTAATTCATTGTTATTCACCAAAAATTATTAAGCCTTTGTCATGCATAAGACATGGTCACCAACACTAGGAATTCAAAGGCAAGTTAGATATAATCAGCTTTTAGAAATGTATCCTCCAATGTGGAGGCAGACACGTGCATGAATTGCAGGAGACATACAAACCTCTAAAATAAGATTATGCCAGAAATAATGTGGCACTAAAAAGAGAGAGATCTGTTCCATTTGGAAGGTATGGGACAGGATTTTCAGAGAAAGTGACTTAGTTTGTGTTTTAAAATATGGACAGGAAATAGAAAAATAGACATGGGGTTTGGGGAATGAGGTTGGAGCAGAATTCCAATTGTAGAGGAAGAGCAGGAGTGGCCACAGAGGCAGGAAGGAACAGTATATGTTTAGAAAACTGTAAGTGGGTGACTCATGCCTGTAATCCTAGCACTTTGGAAGGCTGAGGCGGGTTGATCACCTGAGGTCAGGAGTTCAAGATCAGCGTGGGCAACATGGTGAAACCCCATCTCTACTAAAAATAGAAAAATCAGCTGGGCTCGGTGGCATGTGCCTGTAGTCCCAGCTACTTGGGAGGCTGAGGCAGGAGAATCACTTGAACCTGGGAGACAGAGGTTGCAGTGAACTGAGATTGTACCACTGCACTCCAGCCCGGGCAACAGAGTGAGAAAAAAAGAAAAGAAAAGTAAAAGAAGGAAGAAAGGAAGGAAGGAAGGAAGGAAGGAAGGAAGGAAGGAAGGAAGGAAGGAAAGAAAACTGCAAGTGGTTCCATATTACTTAAGTGAAGAACATAAGGAGGCAATGATGCAAGAAGAGAGGAGGAGAGGTGAGTAACTACATGATTATAAAAGATAATATTAATTAAACATACATATGAAGGCCACTCTTTGCACTAAATGTACGGAAAGCTACTGAAGGCAGTGACTCCAGTGGTGAGACTTAGAATTGAATGGAGGAATAAGCCCTGACCATGAAGAACCACTTTGCTTCAACTGAGAATCAAGGAAGGAAATGAGAAAAAAAAAAAAGAGAGAGAGACAAACTGTTTTCAAGTATCTGCTTTGAACCAGCCCCTAACAAGCAAGACACAAAGAGAGAGAAAGAGAGAGAGATTTTTCTTCTTGATAAGCTTTGAAGGTATTATCCACATTTTATATTTATCATCACACTGAATCCTTGTCCTCCCCCGTACACCAACAAACTTGCTGTCATTTCATTTTTTTTTCAAATACCTAAACTAAAATAAGTAGCTTTACCAAAGTTGTCTAACTGGAAAATTTAGTTTTCAACTCTTATTTTGGATTCCAGGGTTCTATGTGCAAGTTTGTTACAAAGGTATATTGCATGATGCTGGGGTTTGCAGTAAAATTGAATTCGACACCCAGGAAGTAGGCATAGTTCCCAATATAGCTAGTTTTCCAACCCTTGCCTTCCTCCCTCCATCATCGCTCTTGTATTTCCCAGTGTTTATCATTCCCAACTCTATGTCCCTGTGTAGCGAGTACACATCCTGGTACTCAAATCTAGGTCTGAATATAAAATCAAAACATCTTACTACTAAGAGATACTAGCTCTTAAAATTTGAGACTAGTCATTGGTAAGAAATTAGAGCTAGTGAGTTCAGCTTGCTAGTGGATCCTGAAAGCTTGGAACAAAGAAAGATGTAATTAAAGTGCTATCCCAAAGTGAGGTATGCTGATTCTAAGTAAATAAACTTACCACATGTTGGCTTGGATGGAGTAGTAGCTGTAATGGAGGAAAAAAGAATGTAAATTACTAAAATTTTGCTTTAGACTATCTTCCATGTCATTTTGGGGAAAGCTGATTTACAGTACTTCTGCTTCACAAAGTCTATCTAGTTAGATTTAACAGAATATGAAGAATTTGCCTAGTACAGGTTTTCGTTTCAAAACTTAAAGCATTATAAAGGAGTGAGCTAATTCTACAAACTTTTTCATGAATATACCCAATAAATGCAATTAGCAATATTAAGACTTTTAGGTACACATCTAATTGCAGTATGGCAACATGGCTGAAGATTCACACAGCCAAAAATATTTTAAAGGTCTTCATTTGTTTGATTAGTCTCGATGTCAATTTATATAATTATAACTCCCATAGTACGAAGTTCATACTTTTTGTTTACAAAAAAAAAAAAAAAAAAGTCAGAGAAAAGGCAAGGACTGCTTCATTCTCTAGATTAGCTTTTGTAAGCTCTTTGCACATTTACTAGATCCAGGGTAACAAATTGCTCTCTCAACAAATCGAGTAGTGTCTTGTGTGGGTGTATGCATTTCAGTGAATAATTGGGAGAACATGTGCTTTGTGTAAGCTAAGAGATCTCTGCTCATCTCGATTCTGAGTTGGAAGAATGTGGAGAGAATGGTGGACTTGTAAGCTCTGATCAGCTTACTTGCTGATTCACACATACCAGTATTGCTGTAGCCACCCGTCAATGTCTCTTTCCTTTATTTCCATGCCCTCTCACTGCTTAACTGGAACTCTGCAACCAGCCCTATGCTGCTCACTGCTTGCAATGGACAGCCCCTTTGATGGGCCTGTTCTTTCCCACACTAAGACCTAAACCCCTGAGAGAAAAAGTTCCAGTAGATGTGGTTATTTCTCACACATGCTTTCTGATGGATTATGACAGTAACAATTACATCCTGATCTCATCAGCTGTTGCACTGCTAAGCAGAGAAATGTCTTCCTGCTGTTCCATCACCCTCAGGATTCAAACACTTAATGCAACTTAAAGAAAGCAGCCTGAGGTAGAGTGGGTAGAAGGCCCTTGTGAGAGCACATCACCAGGCACGTGGGGATTGTGTGGCTGTGACTGAGGGTAACGTCACCTATTGTTGGGGTTGAAATGACAGTGCTTCCAGAAGGGCTCAGAGTCATTGTTTCAGAGGCATTAAGGTAGGAATCTGCAAGAAAATGAACAGAAGAATAAAAGTTAATGTGTTTGTTATATTGAAAGGTAAAAGAAAAACTCTTTAGCAAAGATAATTTCCTAATGGAATCTTTTCTCTGTGAGTCCTCTTTTGATTTGACGTTTGCTTGTTTTAAAAATAATAAAGTGAATCAAAGATTTATTTCAAGTTATTTAAACTGAACATTGTATAAATTGAGGGAAAACTATTCATTCCTTGATATAATTCTTAGTTGATGTGCAATCTTCCTCAAACTATTCATTTCCCTTTCATTCGTGGCTTTGCATATTTGGATTCTAATAAGGGTCACAATTACTCTTTTTAAATATTTATTATATACCAGATTTTACATATTCAGTCATCACATTAATATTTTGAAAGGAGTGTTATTATGTCCATTTTTACACAAAGCAAATCTGACATACAGAAAGTATTAGTAATTTGCCCTATAATCAGCTAGGAAGTTGAAGAAACTGGATTTGATCCCAGAGCTATATGACATTAAGGCCTATTATTGATTCTTCTTTGCCATGGACTTTTGTAATGTTAATAATAAAATAAAATACGCCCAGAAAAAGCTTACTGGCAAGTTTCTTTTACGTAATTTGGTGTTAATACGTGAACATTTGTAAAATGAGAAACTAGATTAGAAACTAGCTCTTTTATTATTGTGCAAATATTATTTGGCACAAAATAAAAGAGCTGCATTAAAGTTTTGAGTTTCCATTTCATTATCTATAACTGAAGACACCTAGAGCACCATAGGCAGACCTGAGGTGTTCGCTGTGATGGTGGTGTTGGAGGTGCGTGCAGATAAGGCAGCAGAGCTGTTGCGTGCAGGGATGAGGGTGGTTGCTAATGGGGAAATTGGGTCTGTAGGAAAGGTGCTGGCTGTACTCCTCTCTCCTGAGACATCTGCAATCAGAAGGGCCATCAGTACCGTCAGTTGTGTCTGTCATGCAATGACAATAGTCAGATAGCCAACATGAGCACAATTACTAAAGTTAAGGCAAAGAAACAAACCTTCAAGCCCTTCTGCTATACCACGACACATATATTCTACAGAACCGTACCCAAAACACCAGGGCTTATGGGAAAGATGACTTTAGGGGCAGACAACTGGAAACCTATGTGGCTTCATAATCAGAGCACAACTTAAAACATATATATATATATATGTATATAGTTTGGACAGCCCAAGAAGCCTAAAATGCTGGGCTGCAGGCTGCCTTAGGCAATATAAAAAATGTATCAAAGCAGTAGAGACAGGTGCTGTCTTAGTGGTGCTGAGACCACGTAGATGGAGGTAGAGCTCTGAGTGTGAAAGGTTGGCACAGGAGGAAGTGCAACTTGATACATGCTGAGAGCCTTGCAGGCACACACCTCTCTGGGGAGGGATCCCTGGGAGCAGGTGCTCAGTTTTAATTTTCTTAAAATAGAGCTGAATGGGATCCTGCCTGTGCCACAGCATGAGCTCAAAGGTTTTCTTTTTTTTCCTTTCCAGCTGAAGGTTACAATCCTACTTTCACAATTCAGGCTCCCCTGGCCAGGAAAAATCAAATTGGCTTGAAATCCAACAAGCTGCACATTACAGTGGCATCATTCTCTTATTTTCCAATCACATAGGGGCTAATTGGTATAGAATCTAGGGTTGTAGCCAAAGAAACTGCACATTGTACTGGGTTAGAACTTTTCATTGTCAGGCTTCAAATTATGTAAGGTATTTTACATCATTGCTCAACATCACAACCAGAATTACAGCACAGGCAATCAATGTATATTCATTTGGTGCCTACTAGATGACTAGCACTATGCTAGTTGCCATGGAAAAAGCAAAATAAATATGAGCTACCCTTTATTCAAGAGCTTGTTGGGTTATTTTCTGTCAAGATCCCTGGGGTCATCAGTTTAATGACGTGAGATTAATCTCACATTTGCAGGCAGAGTCTGTATTTCAGCAGTGATACACGCATGCATGTTCTGAACATGGCTTTGATTTGAGCATGCAGGTGTCTACCAGTTACAAATGCAGTACAGTCTATAATTTCACACATACATTCCATTAGAATTGAAAATGCATCTTCCAAATAATTGAGCATGGGTTCTCAGCTCAGTCTTCAAAAGCCGCTAAACCACGAAATTTAACTAAACCATAGAACAGAATAAACAACATAAACATGAGGTTTTCCATTCTGGATCCCCAGAGGAGGACTTCAGCAGAACATGTAGAAGAGTGAGGAAAGCTCATTTATTCATCTTTTAAAAAACTCATTCAGACATAGAACTGGCCCCCTGCAGAGTTTTGAAAGCAGCCTTTTTCCACCTTCTTTTCCACACTCCTCTCACTCACTTGTTCTGTTCTCCCCTCTCCAGCAGACCCTGCTCCCAAGCCGTTTTGAGGCTTCCACTCTCAACCTCCCCGAACTCCCTACCTTCCCTCCTCCTCACTTGAAAACTTCTTTTCTCTTGTTATGCAGGTACTCTCAGTTGTGGTAATGGGTGGCATTTACAATTTTAATCAGGTTGATTAATCCTAATAGATTTTTAATCAGTGGAATTAGCCACTTTGAGCGGAAGAATTCCTGGATCAGGACATAGCAGACTAGTCTGTGTGACAACTAGCCCCCAGGGGTCAGTCCCCTTTTGTTATTTTCCAGTTTCTTCCCTTCCACAATTTCGGGTTCTGTAGGTTTGCTAAAAGCTCCAAATATTTTTATTGTGGTTCCCATGGCAGCCGGACTAAGTGGAATGAGGCAGGTGAGGGCGGCTCTTCTCCCACTTGTTTAAAGAGGGTGGATTGTCTGGAATGACTTTTATGCCAAGGGCGCAGTTTTAATACTGCAAAATAATGATTATTCTATATGATGTGCTTGATTCCTACCTAAAGCAAGACCATGTTCCTGCCAGCTACATAGGTCTACCATTTATATCTTTAACTTTCAAGCGTTCAGATCACTGAAATTACATATGCGACTGTGTGGATTTGTGATCTGACAAAAAACATACTTGTTTTTCTTGCATATAAAAGGGCACCACGAAGTGATATGGAGACTAATTTTGAAAAGAAAAGGGAGGAAATATTTTGTACTGTTGTTATAAACACAGAGATGCCATCCTGAAAGATTCTTGATGTTTGAATGGGAAACAAAACCATTCCTTTCTTTTTTCTCATTCTGTAAATAACAGTGTCATTGTGGTTACAACTTCTCACTGCCCTTCATTGATAATAGGAGTCACTCTTCAGCCTGGTTTCTGTTGGTGCAAAGTCTTTAAGTAAAGATTTATGCATGTTATTTCTTACTTCTAACAAAAAGTTTTCCTTGTAGAATAATTGCCTAAAATATATAAAAAATAGACTGTCCTGAATATCTCTTTCCTCCTGAGCAGATTTTTCTGTAGCCTCACAATTCTCATTATTATTTCATCTCTACTAAAAAGACAATTGTTCTGTGGTGTCACATTCCTAAGAGTGACTGAAATTCCAAATTCTTCAACTAACAGTAGCTGCACGTTAAATAAGTGGTTAGATTTCCTCACACCATTCTTAAATACAGGTAGTCGTCTTGCACTCTTCATATTTGCACAAGTCTAAAGGACCCGCAAACCTGAGATATCATTGCTGCCTGGGGTAGGGCTGAGTGCGGTATTGGCGGCGGAGCCGCTGAGTGTCTGCGTGTCAGTTCCAGTAGAGGGCGTCTGCGAGTCTGCATGCGTGGGAAGGTGAGGCGTCTGTGCTGATGAAACACCTAAGGTAGGAAAGTGAGATTATTACATCAATCTTCCCCCACTGGAGATGAATAATTTATTAAGAGGTTATAAGGAGCAAATTGCGATTGTAGTTTACCAAACTGTGAAGTGAGCGTATCTGTTAAAATGTGTCTATCAGTATTTAAATTTGCTTGACTGGAAAGTGACAGGCACCTGAGTCCTCTATTTACATATCCTTGGGAGGTTTCCTGAGCTGGATGCAGCCACAGAGAATTCGTGTTTCCAGGTGGCATTACTGACTTTCAAATCACTATGAGCTTTCTGAATTCTCCATCAACTCTACAAACTGACAGATGCAACATTTCTTTGTAGGCAGAATAAGAAAGGAATCTTCCAATATACTAGTATCTCTTACAAATTACAAAGAAAAGAAGAAATTCAAAAATGGACAAGAGATGTGACAAACATCTACCTAATATACACAAGGGTCCAAAGGTATATGAAAAAATGTTCAGTGTTACGAACAAATTTTTAAATGTAAATCAACATGAAATATTTCTAACTAGCATACTGGCAGAGTTTGAAAAGGTTGATAAGATCTAGTGTTTGAAAACATGTGGAAACAATCTCACATGTCCATGCTTACACACATAGTCTCTCATATACTTACAAAATCATATGTTGAGAGCCTGGAGGATATACAACAGTGGTTAAAAAGGTATCTTTAAGGAACAGAATTTAAAGGGATGGTATTTTCATTGTGTGTCTTTTAAGTACATATGAAGTATACACTTTATATACTTTACTCCTATATGTATATATGTATATGTATGTGTATATAGGATTAAAGTATATACACACAGAATACATACATATATTTTATATATATTTAACAGTATATACAAATATATATACACATATACCCATCTATATTGAAAATGTTTTGAAATAGTCATCAACTATTCTTATAAAAATAAAATTACACAATTAAATTTAATGTTATGCACATGGATGGTTATTGTAACCATTTTCAAAAATGAACAATTTTGAATAGTGTATATAATATTCTTAGAAATATGGACTAAAGGATTTTTACCCCAATTATATCAATAAATGAAAAAATTGCATTCAGCAGTATAAATCAATCACAATCATAAATTAAATAACTCATACAGACTTTATTCCAATAGATAATTGAAATATGACCTGATGAAAAGATTATTTTCTAGAAAAGAAAGTGTGTTTTTATTTGAAAGCATAAACTTTTCTAGGTAATTTCACCATCAGTATTATTTTGCTAGAGCAAATCAGTATTTTAAAATTATTCATCCTTATTTTCAATCTATTCTACTTTAAACCTTTCTCATACTGTGCTCTATCTGTAAATTTATGGCTTAAGTGGTTTTAGATTTTTAAAATGTGGAAATGAAAGTTAGGAATGTTGCACGTTTTTATTCGTATATGTGACATGAAATACAGAACCTTCAAAAGGAAAACTCTATGTAACACTACTCAGGCAACAAACAAAATAATAAAATAGCATGAGATGTTCTACCTAGTCATCAACACCTTCATCCTTGCCTTCCTTTAGTAAAAATTTTGGGCAATGTGTTCAAATTTTTACAGTGTTTAGACAGAACCTAGTCACTACTCTGCTATGGTGACAGGGAAACAAATGGAAGATTAAATGCACAGTCTTGTACTTGCTGTAGGAAGGCACTGACTGTTTATTTAACTGCTTACTATATCCAATAAACTTCATCAGTATGGTACTCAAAATACTTTGAAGTACCCTAAACAAAATTTCTGTGATGGTGTTATATATGCTTGTTTTTTCAAATGAAGATAAATGGCATTGTTAAACAGTTCAAATAGCTTAGTATCTTTTATCAAAGTATGTCTATAAACCTGTTTGCCCAAAAAAAATGTCAACATAACACATTATTTCAGGAAAGCATGAACACTCTCCTGATAGTAAATTTGAGTACTGAATACACTGGCAGACCTGTTGCTAAACATTAAATGAGCATATACTTATAACAGCATTGTAAGGAGCATCAGTGTCCCTCCTTGGCAAAAATATCTCTCACATCAATCTGATTTCTTCTGGGAACATGGCTACATTGCCTTTTATTTTACCAGTAGAACTCACAACCTTAATTAAAAATGTTTTCAATAATGCAAATGCTCTTAAAAGAAACTCATATAACAAAATTGGGTGGTCAATTCTCAGAATGGATTTAAAAATAATACATTCTCTATCTTCAACAATTTTTGGATAAAGAGAATCTAGAATGAAACAAAGAAATGGGAAGATTCCCGTTTAAGGCACCTTCCAAGGAGAGCAGGACTGATAATCTCTGAACTTGGGAAATTCTCATCTGTCCGGGTGGCAGGAAGCCAAGCGGGAGAATCATGGAGAGTGTGTATAGATCAGAGGATACTAGAACAAATTTCCCTCCTGATTGTCCTTGGAGATCTTGCCTCCTTCCTTTTCTCTCTGCACTCCCTAACAACATGCATTAATTACTTTGGTCGATCTATATTTCACAGATACTAATTTCCTGCAATTTCTGCACTTCAACAAAATCACATCCTCAGAAACTGTGAAAATAATTTAAAGACAAGTTGTACTGATAACTTTAGAATTTTTTAAATGACATTGCCCTGATATTTAAGTTAACAATTTTTGTGTGCCAACCTGTCATATTAAAAGCACTAGCGTTATCCAAAGAGTCCGGGGATACTTGGGTTGAAGTATTGTCTGAACTAAGAGATGGTGTGGTCTCTGAGAAGTCATTTTCTCTTTCAGAGATGCTTGCGGGTGAGAATGCAGTGGTGTGAGTAGGTAAGGGGTCACTTGAAAGTGGAACACTGGGCATCTTTGTCGTTCTCGGTCCTGTTAAATTAATGGAAAATGGAAGAAGGACAAAATAAATATGTGAATCATATCCCAAATGTATGCTCATCCCAGTATACTAACTTCCCAGTCCATTATAGTGTATATGTACCTATATCTACACATACATACACACACACCATACATAAGTATATGTATATGGTGTGTATATGTATTCATAAATATATATACACAAATATACATGCATACATACAAATATTGATGCATACAGAGATACATATAATATATAGACACAGATCTAAAACAAGTTACAGAACGTCGGCTAAAGATAACAATGGGGAAAGGAAATTGAAAGCAACTTCTCACCTATCCAAAGCAATTGTGTTCAGAAGGATGAAGCATAATGGGTAAAGATGATTAAAAAAATTAAAAAGTTGTAGATAAAGAAAAGGATAAAGAAAGGCAAAGTTAGAAGGTTTTTAGGAGAGCTAGGGTTTCAGGAGAAAAAAAAATGAAAGACAAAACTTCTATTTATTCATGGATATATATACATATATATATATATTTGAGACAGAGCCTCACTCTGTCACCAGGCTGGAGTGCGGTGACGTGATCATGGCTCACTGCAACCTCCGACTCCCTGGTTCAAGCGATTCTCCTGCCTCAGCCTCCCAAGTAGCTGGGATTACAGGCATACACCACCACATCCAGCTAATTTTTGTATTTTTAGTAGAGACAGGGTTTCACCATGTTGGTCAGGATGGTCTCGATCTCCTGACCTCATGATCCACCCGCCTCGACCTCCCAAAGTGCTGGGATTACAGGTGTGAGCCACCACGCCCGGCCTATTCATGGATTCTTAAAAAAATAAATTAAATGCAAACAAAGCAATGAAAATGTGTATAAAGGACTGAAAAACGAAACTCACAACTAGGTTTACAAACAACCAAAGTCTACAGAAATGTCTTTGACTTCATGATAACAAAGAGATACAAGTTAAAATACTGAAATAATTTCCACAGTTCAAGTTTCTTTAAAAAGAGGAAAATACATCACAATGTAGTGGTGGAATAAGTTTATGCACAGTTGACATGAGTGTACAATGGTTAAAAAAAAAATATTCTGCAGGGCAAATTAGCACTACTGATTAAAGTCCTTTAAAATTTTTTCATGCTCTTTTACTGAAAAAAGCGGTTTTCTTTATAAAAGAATAGAAAAATGCACCAAATTTGTTAAAAAAGAAAAAACTAATGTGATCTCTGGATGCTGGGATTATAAAGATGTATTTAAATTTTTTTTTTTTTTTTTTTTTTTTTTGCTTAACGTATATTTACTTTTTGAAAAGCAAAAAAATATATTTTAAAATATTTAATTAGGCAAAAACTGAGCTATATCACACAACAAGTAATAATTAATTCAGTTCAACAAGATTGGGTAAAAGACAATGGCATAAATATGGAAAAAGGGAGAGAATGAGAGAGAAACTAGAAAAGGAGTAGAGATGATAGGACAGAAAAGAGTTAAGAATGAAAATTGCAATATTACTCAATAGAGAAGAAAATGGAAATAGTATTAAAAAACAGCTTTATTCATTAGTATCAAAGTTAAAGTTAATTTTTACTAAATACAGAAAAAATTCATCTTAATTATATTGTACTTCAGCAATGTCAATATACACAAAATATTGCAGAACTATTCTGTGATTACAGAAATGCAAAACGATCATAGACTTGTTATGTGTGTTATTTTCCAAAGAAAAACTTTAGTCTCTAGATTTTTATAACCAAATACCTCACAAATAAATCCATCAAACTTTTACCCATAATTACATGCCAGCATATCCAACTAAGTACAGTAATAGGATAGTAACTACCTCTAGTCTTCAGTATAAAATCAGGTCTAACTTAATATTTTTTCATCTGCTATGCATTGAATAAAAGAAAGGGAGGAAGCCGGGCGCGGTGGCTCACGCCTGTAATCCCAGTACTTTGGGAGGCCGAGGCGGGTGGATCACGAGGTCAGGAGATCGAGACCATCCTGGCTAACACGGTGAAACCCCGTCTCTACTAAAAAAATACAAAAAATCAGCCGGGCGTGGTGGCGGGCGCCTGTGGTCCCAGCTACTCAGGAGTCTGAGGCAGGAGAATGGCGTGAACCCGGGAGGCGGAGCTTGCAGTGAGCCCAGACAGCGCCACTGCACTCCAGCCTAGACTCTGTCTCAAAAAAAAAAAAAAAAAAAAAGGGAGAGAGGGTGGGAGAAAAGAAAAGAAAAGAGAAGTGGGTGGGAGTAAGGTGGTGTAAAGAAAATAGGAAAGAAGGGAGGGAGGAAGGAAGCAGAGAGTTTAGAATTCTTTCTATTCACATTAAGTCACTGTCATCATTATAGATGATTTTTATAATGACAATTGTAATTTTGTCATTATAAAAGATTGACAATTATTAATTTGTTATTTTTAGATTAAACCAATTCTGGTGTCTGCGGGCTTCCAATGATCCCTTTTGCTTTGGGAGAAATGTTGCAACAAGTTCCCTTTATCGTCCACTATCATTCTTTTATTAGATGTGAATTACAAACAGACCAGAAAGAAAATTATGCAACAGTCTCCTTATAATAGTATGTGATGGTTAATATTGAGTGTCAACTTGATTGGATTGAAGGATGCAAAGTATTGTTTCTGGGTATGCCTGTGAGAGTATTGCCAAAGGAGATTAACATTTGAGTCAGTGGACTGGGGGAGGCAGACCCTCCCCACAATTCCCCCAAACTCCGCCCAATGTGAGTTGGCATCATCCAATCAACTGCCAGCGAGGCTAGAAAAAGCAGTCACAAGAAGGCAGGAGAAGTGGGCTTGCTGAGTCTTCTGGTCTTCATCTTTTTCTCCTGCTGGCTGCTTCCTGCTCTTGAACATCAGACTCAAAGTTCTTCAGCTTTTGGACTCTTGGACTTACTCCAGTGATTTGCCAGGGTTCTCAGGCCTTTGGCCACTGACTGAAGGCTGCACTGTCAGCTTCCCTGCTTTTGAGGTTTTGGGACTCCGATTGGCTTCCTTGCTCCTCAGCTTGCAGACAGCCTATTGTGGGACTTCACCTTGTGATTGTGAGTCAATACTCCTTAATAAACTACCCCTCATATACACATCTCTCCTATTAGTTCTGTCCCTCTAGAGAATCCTGACTAATACACAGTACCATGCTATTTTGATAAGTAGCATTCCTGAAGATACTTCTGGCCAAGCAAATTCAGTCCCAGGTGTAGGAAGAAAGGTTTTCAGAGAACCACTCTCCTTCATATCTTTGCACACATCTTAAGTTCAATTCACATTCCCGTTCACAAATAAGAATTTAAAATTAGAAAACCTGACTCAATTGCCAATTCCACATTGTTCTTGAACCTCCACTTTGCAAATTCTCCTGGTTTCCATTAATGACATTGTTGTGGCCAGTATTTGGGAGAGACCACTTTCCTTTGCATTTTGGTTAACAGTGTTAACTTACCTGGTTTCATCACTTGGAGGCTTGTCATAATAGAGTCAATTCAGAGGTAACAGAAACTCCCTCAATAAGGTGATGAGTCATCTGCCATTTTAAAAAATCACTCCCTATTCTACCTTATACCCATCCCTTTCCTGCAAAAATAACCAGCTGGTATGGTTGAGATGAATCAATCTTCTGTAAAAGTTGGAGATACTAAGTTGCATTTGAGTAGGTGGCATAAACCAATCACAATCTACTATGCAGGAATGACTTTCATTTATTTATAAAACATCACCGTCATGCTAAAAAACTGTAAAATTATGTTAGACCTCTTTTTAAAATAAGGAAATATAGTTCTTATGCAGATTCAGAAGTGTTTTTGTTAGTATTTTCATGGTTATTTGTTTTCTTCATTTGGACTGAATTTTTATTTATGACAAAAATAATCATTTTAATAACCCAATTTCATGATATGTTGAATGTACATTAGTTGTGACTGTGCATTACTATATTAAATCAAAATTGTTTTCATCAATTTACTTACCTTCTTAATACGTACTGTCAACCATATGATTATGCAGGAAATAAATAATACATTTTCAGTAACATCATTTAAGTGATGTGATTTTTTAACCATCTGCAATTTAATTTTCTCTCTTATTTTGCATGTACTATGTATGAATTTATTTGCAGCATCTCCATTTTTTAAATTTAATTTATCTCAGGATCAAGACATTTATTAGGACTATTAATTGAATTGTTCAGTAGAATTTGAAAATTATTATGTAAAAATATCTTAATAGTCTCAAAGGTTTTGTATACCATTGAAAAACGCACCATACTCTTAAAGAAATATAGACATATACAAACCTATTATCTACATATCTATAACATAGATAGACAACTCTTAACCTGCTTTCAGACTATAAAATTTTGTGATCTAACTTAAATGCATTTATTTGTAGTCTTAAAATATTAAAAGAGAGTAGAAACCTGTTGTGCGATTTACTGTCAAGTTCAGGGAAAGTTACTATTTATACACAAAACATATATATATAAATTTAATAGCATGTTTAGGTAGTTATTAAACTTTATAACATATAAGCAGAAAGTTTAAGAACAAGTGAATGTCAAGAATCATTCATGATTATAAAATTTATCCTTAAAAATAATTTCAGTGATAATAATAGAAAATTGTTATTAAATATATAAACTTTGCAACAAGAATATAAAATTAGTAAAAATGCAAATATTAATTCTTACCAATGGGGGAAGGTGTTAAGCCTTGCCCTGCAAAGAAGAAACAAAAATCTCTTAGAAAATTTCAAATTTCATTCATATTCATGTAAACATATATTAGATTTTTACATGTACCTCAAGCTTATGATAGAACATTCACCAAGTGGCAATTTTCAGTAGCTTTTACCCTAATGAAACTATATTCCCTCTCTTAATATCATGTTTACAAAGCCCAAATATGTCAAAATTATGTTATTTATTTTTTGAATGCCCAGGCTAAATCAGAAACATAACAGACTAAAGGATCACTATCAGGATTAATTTCAAACCTGCAAAAGACTTTTGAAAAACTTTTGAAACATTTTTTTCCCAAATGCATTCATTTATTTAGATAATGACGATTAATTGAGCACCTATTTTGTGCTAGACATTATGCTACATGCTAGGGATATAATATGACCAACATATAAAAATTCCCTGCCCTCAATGAGCTCAATTTAGTGTGAGATATGAACAAAAACAATCAATACAGCGTGATGACAGGTGAGACAGAATGTGCTAAAGGAGCACATAACAGGATCATCTTATTTATATTTCCAGGGTTGGTGGTTGGCTGGTAGAGGAGTTGATACAGAGGGTTTCTTGGATGTATTTAAGGTATGACCTAAAGGATTGCATATAGCTAGCTTGGTCCCAGAGGAATAAGAAGCTGGGATTTATCTTACAGGCTTTAGATATCCTTTAGAGGGATGGCTTTAATGGGAGGCCTAATGGAGAAACATTTGAATTTTAGATCAACCTTTCAGGAAATGGAAAATGGATTATTAGAGAGCAAAGGTGAGGGCAGAAAAATCAGGAGACTAAAACCAAAGCAAAACAGACAGAGATGATGTTCTACATAAGAAGAACTGTACCCCAAAAGAAAGGATGGGGAAAGGACCTATGAAACGCTTAAGCAGCACCAAGACTTCGTAAATCCTTGCAAGTGAGAATAAAGGAGAAAGAGTAATATGGAAAATATCTCGACTGATAGTTTAACATGCTAGTGAGTTGTAGTTTCACTGAACTTAAGAAATAATAAACAATGAGTAGAGAGAGGTGAATTGGAATTTGCTTGAGATTCCATGTGAAAATGTTTAATAGTATTTGAACACAGAGGTTCGTAGCTCATGCTATACATCTGGGTTGATGCTATAGATCAGCATACAGATACATTTTACAGCTACAGAGGTGAAGGAGATCACCAAACTATGTAAAAGAGAAGAGTCCTATTGGGTGAACCCCACTCCCGATATTCAACATGGGTTCTTTTCTATTTCCCTAAGTGCTGGCTGGTCTGAGAAACAAAGGGAAAGAGTACCAGAGAGAAATTTTAAAACTGGGTGTCCGGGGGAGACATCATATGTCAGCAGGTTCCGTGATGCCCCCCTTAGCCATAAAACCAGCAAGTTTTTATTAGCGATTTTCAAAAGGGGAGGGAGTGTACGAATAGGGTGTGGGTCACAGAGATCACATGCTTCACAAGGTAATAAAATATCACAAAGCAAATGGAGGCAGGGCGAGATCACAGGACCACAGGAAGGGGCAAAATTAAAATTGCTAATGAAGTTTCGGGGACCCATTGTCATTGATAACATCTTATCAGGAGACAGGGTTTGAGAGCAGACAACCCGTCTGATCAAAATTTATTAGGTGGGAATTTCCTCGTCCTAATAAGCCTGGGAGCCCTACGGAGACTGGGGCTTATTTCATCCCTTTGTCTACCACAGTAAAAGACAGCCACCCCCAAAGCAGCCATTTTAGAGGCCTACCCCCAGGGGCACATTCTCTTTCTCAGGGATGCTCCTTGATGAGAAAAAGAATTCAGCGATATTTCTCCTATTTGCTTTTGAAAGAAGAGAAATATGGCTCTGTTCTGCCTGGCTTACTGGCAGTCAGAATTTAAGGTTATCTCTCTTGTTCCCCAAACATTGCTGTTATCCTGTTCTTTTTTCAAGGTGCCCAGATTTCATATTGTTCAAACACACACGCTCTATAAACAATTTGTGCAGTTAATGCCATGATCACAGGGTCCTGAGGCGACATACATCCTCCTCAGCTTACAAAGATGATGGGATTAAGAGATTAAAGTAGACAGGCATAGGAAATCACAAGGGTATTGATTGGGGAAGTGGTAAATGTCCATGAAATCTACACAATTTGTCAGAGATTGCAGTAACGACAGGTGTAAGAAATTATAAAAGTATTAGTTTGGGGAACTAGTAAATGCCCATGAAATCATCACAATTTATGTTGTTCTGCCATGGCTTCAGCCAGTCCCTCTGTCCGGGGTCCCTGACTTCCTGCAACAGTGTCTAAGATAGAATCCTGAAGTTCAGTGAATATTAAGGAGAGAGCCAGCATAGGTAATCAAATTTTCCAAGTAGGAGAAAAACTGTAGCAAACAGGAATAAAGAGTAGAGGGTAATTCAAGAAGGAAGTGGTTGAAGTGAAATAATATGGGGATTAACATGTGGGATAAACATGGGAGAGTAACATGGGTCAACTGGATTTATCATCTGGGTTTGTGGAAATGTTGAAAAGAGCAGCTTTCTTGGCATCATGTGAACTAGATTCAGTCTACAGTGAAGTGCAATGTTTTCATCCCTCATCTTAGTAAATGCCTACTTAAAAAATTCTAAAGTTCTTTTCCAAATGACAACAAACTCAGATTATTAAAGGGAATCAGAGATCAGATGGAAGAGTGAATTAGCTGATACTTAAGGTGACTTCCTGCCTTTATATTTTGTCTTCTGAGAACAAACTGATGTGAAAACGTTTTCTTCCTTCAGAGTTGCCGTCAGAGGAGCATCACTCAGTATTTTTCAATGACATTCCCTGGCTTATTCCTTGAAGTAAAATGTATTTTTATATCATTGATGGGTGATACATAATTATTAACATATTTACTTTCTTATTTTCTCATTGTATTTCTCTTTTTCTTAATAATTCATACTTAAATATTGTTTTTAATTGATATTGTTTGTATTTTTTTCCCTTTTCTTATCTAGTTAACTTTTATCTTTCTGTTTCATGTAAACTATTATTATGTTTATTTTCTCATTAACAGTGTTCCCACTCTTCTTATTTGTTCTTATTTCCCTCTAAATTAAGGTCTTAGAATCGTGTTGGTTTGCAAAAGTGGTAATAAGAAAAAAATATTAGTATAGTAATAATTAATACCTCTCATGTTTGAAATGAAAGGAAGTGTCCTTTGTTGTTTGTGAAGAACACAGCATATCGCCAAATTTAAAATATCCAAGTTGCTTTTGAGTGTGTGAACATACTTTATACAACACATATATCTTCTTTATCTGAGAAATACATGAGCTCTTAAGTATCTAAAATTATGTTGATATGCCCCTTCTCATGCAAGCACCTAATTCCTTGGAACTTGAAACAAGTTAATCTAGTTCACTTAGGTTCGAGAAACATATATTTTTGTGCTGGCATGCTGTTAGAGACTAGGTTCAAACATGATCAAAGCATGATCCTTGCCCTGGAAAAGCTTATAATCCATAAGAGACATATATCTAGTTATCTGCAAAGACATTTCACTCATGGATACACCTGATTAAGACTAATAATCAAAATTGCTCCCATCAACATCAACATGAATCACATAATAAGAGGAAGAGGAGGAGAGAAAGAGAAGCAGCTGTAGCCAAGAGTTTTGTGTATAAGAAGTGATTCATAAGTAATTGTTGGATTCTTTTAAGCATGAGTAAGTGCAAAGGAGAAACCAAACAGATCTGATGATAACAGCTTTAGAAGAAGAGTCAAGGAGCAAGCATTGTAGACCTTGAAAAGGAGATTGAACTTTTTCCTCAGAATGATGGAAGCCATTGGATCAGTTAATACAGAGGAGAAATCAGAAAGTAAATTTGATGACAGAGAAAAGAGGAATCTTAATGTTACCTGCACCACTAATTCCACAGACCACTATATTCTATTGTTCTGATTTACTACCTTGTTGTCACCAACTATAGAGAGCGTTTCGTAGAAGAAAATTGTAATTCATCATCCGTTTACTACAGAAATGAGAAGAAAAATGCTGGGACACTATGTGAAGCTATTTCTTTTTGAACAAAAGAACTGTGAATACCTGAGTAAATATACTAGAACTGTTTCCAACCAGTACACTATGCATCAGACTACATACATGTTCCATGTCTCAGAGAGATTAATAAACTTCCAAGTGACCCAAAAGCAATGAGTTTTTTAAAAGAAATACATGATGTATAGTATTTTAATCTAACTTCTGAAAAGAAGGACAAGAGGTAAATTACCAAAATGGAGAAGACTGTCTCTAATGATTTACTTTTTTAAATAATAATTTAAAAATGATAATATTATTATTAATTGTTAATATGTATTGAGTGTTTACTGGGTGCCAGGCACTATACTAAGTCTTTTGCTTATGTTTTTTTCTTAAGCACCACAAAAACCCTACGAAGCTTAGAAAAGTCAAGTGTCTTGGCCAAGTTCACAAGACCAGTTTAGTATATGCGAGCCAGATTTGAACCTGAGCCTGTCTGACTTTACAGGCCATACTCTCACTCATCAGGCATCCCTCTTTTCCCATCAACTTGTCTTGACAGCCTTTCCTCTTTGTATGAAATTTTAAGTATGAAAATCTTTTAGAGAAGTTATTTATTAAAAACTCATAAGCTAAGTAAAAATGCATCTTAATCATAATTTGACTGCAAGTAAATTACTAGTAGTGCTACAAATGCTAAAATAACCTTGACCCTAAAAATAGATATGCAGATTAAATCATAATATGCTGAGTGAATGCTCTATAATGGTACAAACAAATATTAGAGAAAACTCAGAGGTGTGTCGACTTAATTTATTACAGAATATTGTTTTGACAGGAAAGTCAACCAAATCACACTAATATCAAGCACAATTACTAAAATTTACAGACTTTTTGTTTAGATGTCAAGAAGTTTCTGGAGCTAGAGGACAGAATAACGGGCATATATATATATATTTTTTTCTGAACTCAT